ATTCCTACCCAGTCTATTACCACAAAATGCTGTGACACTCAAATAATACAAGATTTGGGAAAACACATGTAACATGTAAGGCATCAGATAACTATGAGGGCTTTTAGTATTTTTTATTTTCTTGGGCTAATCAATATATTTCTGGTATCGAGCAGAGTGGTGTACAGCAGGCATTAAAGTTTGATTTTCATGACTTGACTGTATGTGCTTATCAAGTGATAAATGAGGAAGGGTATGCTCCCCTGGTTACTCTTTCTAAATTACCTTCTATTCCTCTTCCATTACGCCATAATTCTTTATTAGATGTTCTTGATTTCTTTCACAACACTTATACCAATATCCTATTATTTTATTCATTTGTTTCTCTGTTTATTATTTGTCCTTTTCATGAAAATACAAGTTCCGTGAGCACAGGTATCTTATCTGTCTTATATTTTTGGATTCTCTGTGTTTCCAGTACATGATCTGTATTCAGTAAATATTAATTGAATGAATGAATGAATAAACAAATGTGTGAATATGAAAAAATAATAAATGTGATAGATTTAATGTATAGCTCTATGCATGCCCTTTGCTTTGTGACTCTGAAGTTCCTTTCACAAAGGGGAGAAGTATATTTCTCTGCCCTTGGCTCTTGGTGAAGTTAAGTGACTTACTTTGGTCAATAAAATGAAACAGAAGTGAGGTGTGTGAGGCCCAAGTCAAGGCCTTAAGAGACCTCATTGTTTCCATTTGTTCCCTTTCACTTCTCCCAATGTCGTGAGAAGGACACGTCTGGTCTCAGGAGAGCATGAAAGGCTTGTGGTGCAGAGCTACCCACCGCCCAGTGGCCTAGAAGAGCTCTACTCCCAGGCCTCAGAAATAAGTCACGATTGTTGTTTTAAGCCACTAAAGTTTGGGATAGTTTATTATGTAGCAATACTAATGATATAAATAGGAGAACAACAGTGGTACTCATGCTTATACTGACTTGGGTCTCCTGTACCTAGGAGCAGGCCTAGTTGCAGGAATGGACACTAAGCAGACAGTTTTAGAATTACAGTTTTTGGATACTGTGTTTTCAAGTTCATGTCACAAGGGCATGGAATTAGACAAGTGTCGAGAGTTGTCACTATTGCTCTTTTCTCCTCCTACCTTTTCTCAACATGCATCCTTTAGCATGGATATTATGCTAGCTGGATCCAGAAACTGAGGTTTTTGATGGGAGCCTTCATTACATATAGCAGAAACCAAAATCTTTTCCATCAAGTGACTGAAGGAAAACAAATTGTGCCTTGGCATTTGCATTTGCTGTTGTGTTTCCCGCCATTTATGAGATTGAGCAAAGTTAATTTGACAGACATTTATTCATCTTCTGTAATGAAATTGTAGAGATGGTGTGAATTTCTTCCCACAGGCTTTCAAGAACATCATTTTCTAAATGTGTTTTTTTTAATCACCTAAAATGTTTATCTGCCCTGAGGTTTTAAGACCAAAGACTCAACATTCCAAAGCATCATGCAGAAAGCCATAATAAATTCACTATTAATTGGAAAGGCAGGAAAGCAGATTACAGAAAAATGCTCAGTCTTTTTATTAGCCTTGTCAGTATATCTACTCATGTTTCTTATTATCCTACGCAGAACATGTGTTTTTCAAATATCACAGATATCAGCACTTGAGTATTTAATACACTTTTTGGAATCTCTGTTTGGTTCTTAGTGAATTAAAAAATATGTATTTCTGGCTTCCATTTACAGGGGTGACATTAAAAAATATTAGAACATTTAAGTTAATTAATGTTGCTATAGTGATGGTGATGTTCCTGAAATGATTTTCTGATGCTTTGAGTTCAAGAGGCTCTGGCTGTGACATGGGCCAGTGTATTTGAGTTTGCTCTCATGCATTTCTGCTAAGGCTGTGAGAACAGCATACCTCGGGAACCTGCTGGGACCAGGACAGTAATAAACATGGAGAGCATAGCTGATTTGCTACCTGAAGCCAAGCCTAGTTGAATCCGGTCAAACCACAGATGCATGAGCAAGAAGTAAAGCTTATTGTTATATACCACTGAGCTATCATGGTTATTTGTTACAAGTTACACAGCAATAGCTGACAAAGACCCCTTCTCTTTCATAACTAGCTATAAGAAAGAGTAAGGAATGGGAATATACCTGATTATTTCTGACTACTGCCTACATTTACTGGAAAATTATTTATCTTCCTTCTCATGTATCAGTGTGGACACCATCCCTAAAGGAAGTAAATCATTTCTTATTTGGTTAAGTAAGGTCTTACCATACTCCCCCCATATGACGTTTATCTTCTATGTTTCTATGTTCCTATCTTTCTTTAATCTTCTCCCAAATTGAGAGTTTGTGCATAATTTGCAAAAATGCATAATTTGTGTCCTGAAATGTTTAATGTTGAACATGATGCTATAAATAATCCACTGCTCTGAGCATGTTCAATAAAAATTACAATACTATTATTATGTCTACATTTAGGCATTTACAAATTTCCCTTTAAATGGAGATTTATTGGGGTTTTCAACTGCTCAGTGATAGAACAATATTAATGTCTTCCCAAAGACAAGTGAGTTAATATAATCTTTCTATATGCTTGGAGACTCTTTGGTGATGTCAGCTTGGACAGCTGGTTTTCCACACACAGTAACTTTTCTGTTACATCAAGGGGTGGGGAGAGGGGCTGTTTTCATGTTTTGTTTCTTTTTTAATTATATACAGGACTTGTGATTGAGAGAAAGAACCAGTGATACAGGCTTCCCATTTAGCCTGAAGAGCAGACATTCAAGGAAGGCATGAGAAGATGCAGAGACATGGTCCCTAAAGGAACAAGGGCTGGGCCCACCACAGGCCCAGCCCGACTATGACCCCTTCTCTTTCATAACTAGCTATAAGAAAGAGTAAGGAATGGGAATATACCTGATTATTTCTGACTACTGCCTACATTTACTGGAAAATTATTTATCTTCCTTCTCATGTATCAGTGTGGACACCATCCCTAAAGGAAGTAAATCATTTCTTATTTGGTTAAGTAAGGTCTTACCATACTCCCCCCATATGACGTTTATCTTCTATGTTTCTATGTTCCTATCTTTCTTTAATCTTCTCCCAAATTGAGAGTTTGTGCATAATTTGCAAAAATGCATAATTTGTGTCCTGAAATGTTTAATGTTGAACATGATGCTATAAATAATCCACTGCTCTGAGCATGTTCAATAAAAATTACAATACTATTATTATGTCTACATTTAGGCATTTACAAATTTCCCTTTAAATGGAGATTTATTGGGGTTTTCAACTGCTCAGTGATAGAACAATATTAATGTCTTCCCAAAGACAAGTGAGTTAATATAATCTTTCTATATGCTTGGAGACTCTTTGGTGATGTCAGCTTGGACAGCTGGTTTTCCACACACAGTAACTTTTCTGTTACATCAAGGGGTGGGGAGAGGGGCTGTTTTCATGTTTTGTTTCTTTTTTAATTATATACAGGACTTGTGATTGAGAGAAAGAACCAGTGATACAGGCTTCCCATTTAGCCTGAAGAGCAGACATTCAAGGAAGGCATGAGAAGATGCAGAGACATGGTCCCTAAAGGAACAAGGGCTGGGCCCACCACAGGCCCAGCCCGACTACGTGGTGTTTTCCTTGGAGTCTCCATTAGAGAAGGCAGCATTGGCTTAGAGAGTGGGCTAAGTCCTAGCCCCAAACTGTGAGGGGTTGGGCATTCAAGGATTTTACGTATATGTTCATTTCACTCAGTGCTTTATTTATTGTTTTAGGTTAAGTTCCATAGGGGCAGAGCTTGAGACAGGGATTAAAATGGCCTTGATTTATTGTGGGAGTGCTTTTAGGTGGGAACTATAAGGCAGTGAGGGATAGGGAAGAGGAGAATACAGACCAAGGATGTGGTCCTAGGTAAGGTTTAAAGTCGGCCTAACCTGTGCGACATTCTGCAGTGCACCAGAAAGCCTTTTTTATGTGGTGGTAAAATATACATAACATAAATTTTGCTATTTTAACTGATTTAAAGTATACAATTCAGTAGCATTAAGTACATTCATAATGTTGTAAAACCTTTACCACTATCTAATTCCAGAACTTTTTCTTCACCTCAAAAGGAAATCCTTACCCATTAAGGCAATGTCATTCTCCACGTCTCCCACCCTCTTGGAAACCATTAATCTACTTTCTGTCTCATGGGTTTGCCTATTCTGGATATTTCACATAAGTGGAATCAGACAATATATGGCCTTTTGTGTCTGACTTCTTTCACTCAACATTCTGTTTCAAGGTTCATCCATATTGTAGCAGGTATCAGTATCGTACTCTTTTTTAAGGCTGAGTAGTATTTCATTGTATAGATATACTACCTTTTTTTCCAGTTTATTAATTGATGGACATTTGGGTTTTTGCTCATCTTTCAGCTCATGTGAATAGTGCTTTCACAAAAGTATATGTATAAATTTTTGTTTAAATTGTTTTATTTTCTCTTGAGTTGCATCATATAAGTGGAATTGCTTTATCATTTGGTGTTACTTTGGCTAACTTTTTGGGAAACTGCCAAACTGCGTTCCACAATGGCTGCACCATTTTATAATCCCACCAGCAATGTATGAGGGTCCCAATTCCTTCCCATCTTTGCCAAACTTGTTCCTATCTTTCTTATTATGGCCATTCTAGAGGATGTGAAGTGGCATCTCACTTTGGGGCACAGCCTTTCTCACCCTCACATCATTCTGTCATTTGCTGTAGGCTGTCCTGGGGAATCTAATCTCCTGAGTGAGGCAGTTCCTACCAGCCGAAAGCAGCCTCCAGGGAAGAAAGAGCAAGTGTGAGCTGTTAACAGGTCACATTCACAGTAAATGAGAAATGGGATTGCCATACTTGTTCATCCAATAGACATAGAAAACCTATTGCATGCCAGGCACTATATTAGGTGTGCAGGGAGTGCAAAGCAGACTCTGGCCTAATGGATCTAATAATGTTTTACAGGAGGATTCCAACATTGATCAAATAAACACACAAAAGTAAATATACAACTCTGGCAAGTGTAGAGAAGAAGAGGGACATGGTGCTACAATCCATAATAAGATTGGAGGTACGTGGGATGATCAGAGAAGACTTCCATGAGGAATGAACGATTGAAGGGAATTCCAGAGAGTGAGTATAAAGGAGCTAGATAACTAAAGGGCCAGGACAGCATTCCTAGATGAAGGAACAGTGTGGTCAAACACCTTGCCATGGGTGAACATGATGAGCTCTGAATCTGAAAGATACGTGGCTGAAGTGGGAGGTGGAGAGGTCAAACATTCTTGAATAAGCCTGGTGAGGTAGGTAGGGATCATACCTGCAGGATAATCGAAAGTATGAATGTTTATCCTAAGAACAATTATAAGCAAGCACATAGAGCAGATGTAAGAATAGGGAGAATCTGATTGGCATTTTTTTATTAAGGTATCATTAATATACAATTTTATGAAGGTTTCACATGAGCAACACTGCAGTTACAACATTCACCCATATTATCAAGTTCCGCCACACACCCCGTTGCAGTTACTGTCCATCAGTGTAGTAAGATGCTATAGAGTCACTACTTGTCTTCTCTATGCTGTACTGCCTTCCCCGTGACCCCCCTACATTATGTATGCTAATCATAATACCCCTTATTCCCTTCTCCCTCCTTCCTCACCCACCTCTGCAGCCCCTTCCCTTTGGTAACTGCTAGGGCCTTCTTGAAGTCTGTGAGTCTGCTGCTGTTTTGTTCTTTCAGTTTTGCTTGTTATACTCCACAAATGAGGGAAATCATTTGGTACTTGTCTTTCTCTGCCTGGCTTATTTCACTAAGCATAATACCCTCTAGCTCCATCCATGTTGTTGCAAATGGTAGGATTTGTTTTCTTCTTATGGCTGAATAATATTCCATTGTGTATATGTACCACATCTTCTTTTTCCATTCATCTAGTGATGGACAGTTAGATTGCTTCCATTTCTTGGCTATTGTAAATAGTGCTGTGATAAACATAGGGGCACATATGTCTTTTTGAATCTGGGATCTTGTTTCCTATGGGTAAATTCCTAGGAATTGAATTCCAGGATCAAATGGTATTTCTGTTTTTAGTTTTTTGAAGAACCTCCATACTACTTTCCACAGTGAATGAACTAATTTACATTTCCACCAACAGTGTAGGAGGGTTCCCCTTTCTCTGCATCCCCTCAGCATTTGTTGCAACTTATCTTTTGGATGTTGACCATCCTAACTGGTGTGAAGTGATATCTTATTGTGATTTTGATTTGCATTTCTCTGATTAATAGAAATGTGAAGCGTCTTTTCATGTACCTATGGGCCATCTGTATTTCTTCTTTGGAGAAATGTCTGTTCAGATCCTCTGCCCAGTTTTTCAATCAGGTTATTTGCTTTCTGGGTGTTGAGGCATGTGAGCTGTTTATATATTTTGGATGTTAACCCTTATTGGATATGTTATTTATGAATATATTCTCCCATACTGTAGGATGACTTTTTGTTCTGCTGATGGTGTCCTTTGCTGTGCAGAAGCTTTTTAGTTTCATGTAGTCCCATTTGTTCATCTTTGCTTTTGTTTCCCTTGCCCAAGGAGATATGTTCATGAAAAAGTTGCTCATGTTTATATTCAAGAGAGTTTTGCCTATGTTTTCTTCTAAGGGTTTTATGGGTTCATGACATACATTCAGGTCTTTGATCCATTTTGAGTTTACTTTTGTGTATGGAGTTAGGCAGTAATCCAGTTTCATTCTCTTATATGTAGCTGCCCCATTTTCCCAACACCAATTGTTCAAGAGCTTGTCATTTCCCCATTGTATATCCATGGCTCCTTTATCGTATATTAATTGACCATATATGCTTGAGTTTATACTTGGGCTCTCAATTTTGTTCCATTGATCCATGGGTCTTCTTTTGTGCCAGTACCAAATTGTTTTGATTACTGTGGCTTTGTATTAGAGCTTGAAGTTGGGGAGCATAATCCCCCCAGCTTTATTCTTCCTTCTCAGTATTGCTTTAGCTATTTGGGGTCTTTAGTGTTTCCATAGGAATTTTAGACTTATTTGTTCTAGCTCACTGAAGAATGCTGTTTGGTATTTTGATAAGAATTACATTGAATCTGTAGATTGCTTTAGGCAGGATGGCCATTTTGACAATATTAATTCTTTCTATCCATGAACATGGGATGTACCATTTATTGATGTCTTCTTTAATTTCTCTCATGAGTGTTTTGTAGTTTTCAGGGTATCAGTCTTTCACCTCCTTGGTTAGGTTTATTCCTAGGTATTTTACTCTTTTTGATACAATTATAAATGGAGTTATTTTCCTGATATCTCTTTCTGCTAGTTCATCATTAGTAAATAGGAATGCAACAGATTTCTGTGTATTAATTTTGTCTCCTGCAACTTTGCTGAATTCAGTTACTAGTTCTAGTAGTTTTGGAGTGGATTCTTTAGGGTTTTTTTATGTACAATATCATGTCATCTGCAAAGTGACAGTTTAACTTCCTCCTTACCAGTCTGTATGACTTTTATTTCTTTATGTTGGCTCATTGTCAGGGCTAGGACCTCCGGTACTATGTTGAATAAAAGTGGTGAGAGTGGGCATCCTTGTCTTGTTCCTGATCTTAGAGGAAAAGCTTTCAGCTTTTTGCTGTTAAGTTTGATATTGGCTGTGGATTTGTCATATATGTCCTTTATTATGTTGAGATATTTGCTCTCTATACACATTTTGTTGAGAGTTTTTATCATGAATGGATGTTGAATTTTGTCAAATGCTTGTTCAGCATCTATTGAGATGATCTTATGATTTCTGTCCATCTTTTTTGTTGATGTGTTGTATGATGTTGATTGATTTTCAAATATTGTACCATCCTGACATCCCTGGAATAAATCCCACTTGATCATGATGGGTGATCTTTTTGATGTATTTTTGAATTCCGTTTGCTAATATTTTGTTGAGTATTTTTGCATCTATGTTCATCAGGGATATTGGTCTGTAGCGTTCTTTTTTGTGGTGTCTTTGTCTGATTTTGGTATTAGAGTAATGCTGGCCTCATAGAATGAGTTTTGAAGTATTCTCTTTTCTACTTTTTGGAAAACTTTAAGGAGGATGGGTATTATGTCTTCTCTAAATGTTTGATAAAATTCAGTGGTGAATTCAATTTAAGGAGGATGGGTATTATGTCTTCTCTAAATGTTTGATTAAATTCAGTGGTGAATTGATAAAATTCAGGGCTTTTTAAAAAATAATATCAGTCTGTCTATGGTATAGAGAATGGACTGGGATTATTGAAAATGAATCCTCTGAAGGAGCACACATACCATACTGAGATTTTTCCATTGTCTCTGATATTAGGGGAGTGAATTCTTCTATTTGTGGTCCATGCCTGTTTGTGAGGCTCTCCCTGATGGTGGTTTGTTTCATCATTGGTTTAGAGGTTTTACTGTGATGTTGCCTTCTGCAGGGGTATTACCCATGAAAGCCCTAATGCCTTGGACTGTGGAAGTGTGCCTGCCATGCTGATGTATAATCTTGAAGTCTCTGTATAGTGTGGCTAAGAATTTGAGGGGCACACGACAAATAACCTTTTTCCTGCTTAAGTTCAGAACCAACTGGCATAAACAGAGAGTCCCACAAGGCAGTATTAGCTTTATTGCTGAAAAAGTAGAGATTGGACAGCATGGAAACAAGAGGCTTCTTAACGCTGCACCTGATAGTTAGATTTACCCACCTTGTCACAGAAAATGTAGAAAACTGCTGACTTTTACCCCATGTGCTGTCCAGACCTTTAGTGAGAAGCTGACTGCAAGGCCAACTCACAGTATGTTCTTAACAAGAGATGAAGAACATAAGAGCTTTAACTGAAATGCAACATGTCCTGGAACCATAGGAGAGATTAGAGAGTGTTTCTTGAAGGAAGTGAGATTTGAAATGGGCCTTGACTGATCCGTTACTTGTTTATTTAAAAAAATATTGATTGATTATCTACTCCATGGAGGTTACACTAGCTATGAGGACTGGGACTGACAATAGGAAATGGTGGTGTCCAAGCTGTGGTTATAGATTAAGCAAAAGGACAGAGGCATTTCTGATATGGATACAAAAAGATGTAGTAGTAAATTAATTAATATGCTTGCTTGTAACAGGTACAGTTGATGCCCTACCCATATAACCTTAATACTTACCATTCTTGCTGAAAATTTCTTGCTGAGAGTACATCAGACTCTGTACCAAAATCTCTGGTATTAAGAGCAGCTAGGCCAGAGTCCAGGACAGACAAGCTTAGTGCCTACAGGAGCAGCCCTCAACCAGTGATGAATGGGAGCTGGCAGATATCCCAGCTTCCTTGCCTCTTGGGTCAACTCTGAGACATATTTTCCCATGTAAACATTGACTCCAGTTGCTCATGGTGGAAACCTGCTCATCAATGCCCCTGGATTAGTTCCTTTGCCTCTTTCATTCTCCCTTTATCTACTGGTGCCTCTTGAGATGACCGCTTGAATCAAATACTTACACTCACACCCTAATGTCAAGATCTTCTGGACAAGTGAAGACATTTATCCTTCTATAAAGTGAAAGTCCATATTCTTATTGCTTAGATAACAACCCAGGAGTTCATTTTTATGTACAAATAAAATTAAATGTCAAATTAAAAAGATTTTCCCAAATATATATCATTAGATCACTCATTCATCAAATATTGTTGAACATTATTTTTGAGCAATGTTGGGCATTGAATATATCAAACTCTGTGCATAGAAAGTGTTCACTAAATATTACTTCAATATGAACAGGATTCATGCCACTAAATTGGCTGGAATAAGCTTGGGTTTTTTGTTTGTTAAATAGGTTTAGCTTTCTTCTATTGCTATCATTCCAGTATGTTCATAACAGCCAGATACAATGTTGATTCAGCTGCCCTTTAAATGACAAATACCTTACATTTGCCATCAAATGACACATTGAGCCCAAAGTACAGTGCTGACCCAATTATAGAAACTGTATTGGCTTGGTGTTGACCACCACTGTCATTGTGAGGTTAAGACTTGGGCAGTAACCCAGACGACTTAATCAGAGATCAACCTACTTCTGAAGAATAGTCCGAATTATTTGATAGCTTAGTGCAAAGCTCCCTTGGAAGGTAGAACAATCTTTGTTCTCCTGTCCTGTTATTCACTATATTGAGTGTACACTCACATGTGCACTCACATATGCACACATAAATAATAACAACAGAAACCACTAATAGGTGTTTTTAAAAGTGAAAATTCCAGTACCCTACATAAGCCATTTAAATTTTTTAATATTCTCTGCTAGTCTTTGGCTATTGACAGATGTAGTTTTTTATGTGATTATAAGAAAATTTCTGTGCTATGTTCACTTCTTCTAACATTATTTTGCCAGTATTTTTTTGCCCTACAGTGGTTTGCCCAGTGCTTTTCAGAAAGATGTCAAGGATGGAATCCTTCCAGCTGGAATGCGTTTGTACCTCTGCACTGAAACAACTTCTGAGGACTCTTAGAAAGCTACTTTTAATGTCTTCTGTTTCCTACTGCAAGGAATGACCTCCTGGCTCCTGCTTATTTCAGGGATTAATGTGTTTGGATAATTGTCTCAAGTGTGAGTGCACCACTGGAGACCAGGTGTAGCATCTTGGCACTTGGCAGAGGTCTAGTTTGTTTATTTGTTATTTATTCACTTCGCATTAATTCAACAAATAATCACTGAATATCTGTTACCATCAGAGAATGGCTGCAATGCTCTATCTGCAAGCAGATGATGGAGGCTGGAGACCATAATAGATCAAGACCAGGAAAGTGCAAAAAGTGAGGGAACATTGGTGTTGAGTGTGAGCAGTTATGTCCACCACAAAAAACAGAGGCACCAGGTAACAAGTAGGAATGGAGGACCCAAAACACCAGAGACTGGGGCATGAGAGGCTGATAATCTAACCAGACAGACAGGTAAGAAGATGAACATAAATGCTCAGCAGACATCCCAGATCAAAGAAGAGGGTGGTCACACATGAGGAATACAGATTTAGGGTATTAGTGATAGGGCAAGCCCTGAAAATGACGACAAAGAACTGCCTTGGTCCATTTTGAATGGGTCTCCTATGAAGGTAGAAGACACACGCATGATGATTCTGTTACCTGCTGCTGGAGTGTCCGAGAGGTGCCATGGACAGAGCCAGACACCTTCGGTTTGAGTCCCACGTGGAAGCTAAGTGACTTCAGGTAAATTATATAAGCTCTCAAGGTCTCAGTGTTCAGATGTGTGAAATGGTGACATATAATGCTTAGCTCATAAGGTTGTAATGAGGTTTAAATAAGTGAATACTTGTAAAGTGCTTATAACAGTGCCTGGTACCAAATAAGTACTTGTATTGTTGTTATTAAATAGAATTAATATGTAGTGAAGGAATGCATATCTTGACAATACTTAACTCTTTTCAGTACCCATAACCACTGTCATTTAGAAATTTAGAAATACAAATAATGTCATAGTCTTCTCTTCCTAATGATCTATTTCTCTTGTTAATGATCTACCTGTGGTTCCAAACATGGCTTCCTTCTGCATCTTCCCCCAACAACTTGTGCCTTCACTGTTCTGCCCTGTTGATTGGCAAGCCAAGCTGAAGTATCTTCTGGGTGCTGGGCTAGGCACTCTTATGCATATCACAACCTTACCCTTTCCCTGGCCTGTGTCCTTGAGGACTAACACCAAAAACACCTCCTAGCTTCTCTAAAGCCTCCAGACCTCTAAGCTGTTTATATACCAGCACGGTGCCTCTGAGAACTACCTTCCATTTAGAAAGCCATTATTTCACTCCGAACTGGTAGCAGGTGGGTGTTTTGATCCAGGGATCCTCAAGCCAGGTCTCATGGCTCAGCAAGGGGCTTATACCATTCCTGCCCAAGCCCATCTTGGATTTTGTAGTTGGACAGGAGGCATTTCTTTGCCAGAGCTATCAAGATGCCCTAACTCCTGGGCCTTTTCCCATGTCCAAAGCCTGGGACTCATTGCCAAATATGCCCCGGCAGCTTGGCTGAAGGCTTCACTACAGGAATAGTGCCATCATTTCAGTAGCTAAAAACAAGCAGAAAGGTGCCTTGTGAACACTGCCGCCTGCTGAGGCCCAGGAGCAGGGATTTGGTGAGGACAGGAGGAGGGTACAGAATCTACTTTCTTTCCTCTTCTTTTTCTTTTACAGAAAGACTCTTTGTTTTTGTCATTCTATGCACGAGCTAAGCAGATTACAGTAATGGGGACAGTCCCAGGTATCTAGGAGATGGGAGAGAATTTGCATTCCAATTGTGGAACACATCAGAAGGCTATTCTTCCTGCCTTGATTGGAAGGTACAGTTCAGTTTTAGGGTTATTTAAACAGGATCATACCTTTCCCCCTCAAATTCTAGCTGGGGGAGGCTCCAGTGATGACCCAGGGGGCTCTGGAAAGAAAGAGCAGCAGCTTTGTAAAGCCGGACATTCTCAGTGGACTTTGAAGGGTCAAAGCCACTTTATGCTACTTCCAGCTTTTAGGCTGCTAGTGTATTCAAAAAAGAAATGCCATAAATGATAGCAAAAAAAAAATTGGCTACATTAAATGATGACTTTAGGCAAAGTAACACATTTAACACACACACATGGACACACACACAATACCCTGATTGTGTGTGTGACTTCATTTGTGGATAATGTCAAAAGTTTGTATTTGAAGAACAGAATGAAAATGAGGCTCCTGCCAGATGGTCCCTAGCCCTCCCCACTCCCCACCCCAGATGGTTCTGTCCATGATGCTTTCCAGAGAGAATGTCCCCATGCTCCCCCATCACATAAATACCCCTCTCCATGGAAAACCTCATCCCTGATTTGCCCACCTCCCAGAGAAGCAGTGTACTTCACTTCCAAAGGCTTCCTTTCTTTCCTCCTGCTTTTAAAAATCATAGACCTCCAAGACAGTTCACCTAAAAGCAAAGCATTCTGTTGGTTTGGAATATACCTGAAAATCAAAGCTCCTCTCTCCTCTGCCTGCCCCCATCTACCGCACACATGCATGCACCGCCCCCCCCACACAGTGAAACCCAGCTTCAGTGCTCTGTCTGCATCGTCTTGTCCCCTTTCTGCCCCTTCACACAGACTTATTTCATAAAAATGTCAGCTATTAAGTTAACGTTATTTAAGAGGCTTTGGGTTTTAGTTCCTGAATGCAACCTAAGCTGGATGGGTAAAGGCCTGACACGAAGGCCCAGCTGTATAAAACATGATCCACAGAGGTACTAAATAAATAACCTGGTTGTGGGGCTTCCAGCTCCTCTCAATTTATCACTGGAGTAACGATAAGGATCTGATTTAGAGTGAACCCTACTGAGGGTCAAACCCCGGCACAAGCTGTAATATGATCTGCAGGGGAGGGATGATAACCTGAAACAATGTGAAGAAACTCTGTCAGATAAATAAAACAAAGTGTTTGTCCATTAAATAGCTCTGCCAGGAAGAGGACAGGGAAGCCAAACAGAGCTAAATCCAATTCTTTTATGGAGGCACAAAGCCAGGAACACCTGAACTGAACTAGGGAAGTAACCTCACTGAGAAATAGGTGGAGGGGGTGTTGTGGGAAGGGGGCAGTGATCTGATTTACCCAGGTCACTGTGCTCTTTGATCTCAGGCAGATCCTTGACCCTCCCTTGGCTTCACCTCTCCGTCTGTGAAGGGGGTCCCATCCACCTGGTCCCACCCACCTTACTGGGTTGTTGAGGTGATCCCATGGAAGACTTACACAAAAAGGGTTCTGAAGAAGGAAATGACTGCCTGAAGCTTGGAAATGCCCATGCCTGCGAAGGCCGAGCTGAGAACAGGAGTGTCTGAGGCACGATGGGCTCATCTCCGGGGGTGATGCAGACGCAGAGCCAGCACCACGGCCACGCAGAAGTACAGCCCACTGCTGCCAGATCTTTATATTTTTTCAGAAGAAGCTTGAGATACCTATTTTAATGTGAAATCTCAAGAATTTTAAGTGTTGGCAGCTAAAATAGTTTTCAGAATTCTGCATGGTTTAGTTTAAAAGCAATACGTATTCAGTTGAAAAATTGTAGTTTAGTTGTAGCCTATAGTCTACCACCTCTGGACTAAAGAAAGCAAGGTGGAGTCTTTCCATGAAGACCACCATTGCTCCTGCCATTCACGCTGGACAGGATTCAGGACACAAAGGAATTAGAATTAGCAGTGTCCCTTCTCAAATCCACCGGTAGACCACACTTTTACCTTAGCTCTCTTTCAACGTTGTGGTGTACTTTTACTGGGTCTACACTGCATGTTACTGAATACTGCACAGAATCTTCCAATAAAAAAGTTCTCTTCAATTAAGTATAACTACCCTCTGAGCTTTTCGTTCCTACAGAGAGAACACTGGTTCTGCCCCTGGACCCAATTTCTCAGTGGGGGCACTGTTGGCATGTTGCACAGTTACTAAATGTCAATAGTTACCCCTAGGGCAGTAAAAAGAAAAGATGCCCCTTCACTTTAAAAACAAAACACAAAAAACAACCCTCTGCTACTTTACATTTGTGGAAACCAGAGAGTTAAATTCTGTGTTCTTGAAGAAGACCAAGCCGACCAAATTGGCTCCACAGCCAGTCAACATGACTAGCCCAGGCCTCTGTGATAGACCTGAGGCAGCCGGAAGGGTCTCCATTCTGTGAGGTCTGGGCTTCTTAGAAGAGTGAAGGCTAAGCCAGCGAACAGGGACAGAAAGGGCCCTAGGGGGCCATTTACACCTTTGATTCCCTGCCCAGGCTCTGAGTCACCAATGCTCCTTTTGGGGCAGGCAGGTCTCATCCTGGCAGGCTTGAGGGTCTGGCCCAGGGACATTTATTTTTATTTACAGCTTCACTGATGAATCTAGACTATTTTGAGATCCAGCGATTTAATAAAAGTATTAATACTTCCTCTCCCTAAAGCAGTGGTTCTCAAACTTGCTTGCTCTTCAGAATCACCTGGAAAGCTTTACAAAATATGGCCCTAAGGCACTAGTCAGAGAGACTGATTTTATTTGTATATTAAGTTCAAATTCTTACAGAGCTGTTGTGGGCATAGTGGTAGGTAGGAGCTCTTGTATCTTTGTGACGTTTTTGGAGAAGTAGGTCTGTTTGTCTCCACATTGCAGATGGCAAAGCTGAGGCCCAGAAATTGAAAATGCCCATTATGGTCTTGCATCCAACAACAGAACAAGATTCAAATTTTTGTGTTGTAAGAGTGCTGCCATCACATTTTTTTCCTGCCAACTTGTTGGATTCAAGCTGTTCATTGTTGGACTAAAATTAATTTCTGAGGCAGTGGCAGTGGAAACTTTACACTGAATTATGTATTTTTTTTCCTTGTGCTTTGTGGTTTTTATTGAATAATTTTCTCCCCCCATCAGGCAGGAAGAAGGTTCTGTGCTTCCTTGGCTTTATGGTGGTTTAACTCAGAGCCTCCTGGCTTTTATTTCGTAAATCTCATGCTCATGAGGATAAAGGGATTGCTCAATTCAAGGCACTAAAAAGTGGTTCCCAAAGATTAAGAGAGGAGATTGAGGCTCAGAATCAAAACTAAAATGATGGAAAAATACAAATGTGAAATATTTTGCTTGATTAAATTTATCGATCAAAAGTCAGATGGTTAGTATTTAGTTCTGATATAAAAGAATTATTGTACTTTTCAGTTAGAACATCTTAGAGGAAGTTTGGAGGAACTTAAGGACATAAATTATACACATGGAAAAAAAGATCATTTTCTTTTTTATTTTAAGGGGTTCCTTAAGTGAAAAAAATTCGCTTACACTTGTTTAAATGAATAAAAAGACAACCTACACAAGGTGAAGAAAAAAGAAAATAAAAAAGGAATGCCTTGGTCTGTATGAGTAGAAAATCCAGTACAAATGACTTCAGGCACAACCTGATCCAGAGATTCAGATGACGTTATCAGGAGTCTCCCCGCCTCTCAGTGTCCACCTCTGCGTTGGCTCCATTCTTCAGGCAAGTCTTTTCATGTGGTAGTCCTCAGGCCTGCATTTGCCTCCCTTAACAATTCTAGTGCAACCAGCACTTCTCACTGGCCTGCCTAGAGACATGTGCCTATCCTGTATCCACCATTATGAACAAGGTACAGAGCACAGTGACTGGCCAGCCTTGGGTCATATGTGCATCCTGAATCCAGGAAGATGGGGTCAATATATCTAATCTATATGGACAGACAGAGGAGATTGTTGACTTCCAAAAGAAAGCAAACAAACAATTAACAACAAAAAAGTTAAAAACAGGACAGTTAAAAAAGGGGAATTGATTCTAGTCAAGAATGAACAACAGGTGTTCTCCACAAAGGGAGACAAGATGGATGTAGGGAAAGTAACCAAGTCCATTTTCTCCTTTCTTGTCTCACATTAGCATTCATTAAATAAAAGCAGGAAGTCAAAACAGTGAAACAAACACCAACTAAGAATAAAATCAAAGAAAGGGGCCTTCCCTAATCATGAAAATTTTGGCTTGATAGTGTTTTCAAGAAGCTTGTTTTTTTTCTTTTAAGAACCTACAGTAACTCAGCTTGGCTAATAAAGTGTTTGCCTAGTACATTATGGAAGTCTTTTGGGAGACTATTGAATCAATTAGAATGATTTGTAATTAGCACACCAACCTAATGACAGGGTGTCTCTAAATTGCTTGAAAATAGTTTGTTTTCTTAAGGAACTTGTATGCCCCTCTTATGAACATATTTATAAAAGTAATATGTTTACTGCCTTTTAGAACTTTTCACGAATTTTGAATCTTGAAAGTTTTCAAGAATCTTGAGAAAATTTTTCTCAGATTTTATCTTAAATATCACAAATACTGAATTATATGGATTTGAATAATTGGAAAGTTATATGAATTGGAAAGATTGCCCCCTGTAGAAAATTATTCACAAAAGCCTATGGGACAGATTATCACAGACAGGCGAGTTTGAAAATTCTTATTGATATTAAGAAATCATGTCAGAACTTGAAACAATTCAAACAGAAACAGAAGCTAGAAATGATAAAACTGTTATTGTAAGGTGTCATTGCCTATAGTACTAATATTCACAGGTACAGAATTGTGTTAAAAAAATGCCTTAATTTTTTTTTTTCTAAAGCTTGGGAATTAGCTGACCTGTTTTAAAAGTTCCTGAGACTTCAATGGGTGGGATGTCCATTCATATGGCACAGCTTTAGGTTTTCAGGTTTCTGGAGCCCAATTTGAGAGTTGTGCCAACCCAGAGACCTGTGGCATTCTGGCCAACAACATTGGTTCTGAAGTCAGGCAAAACCTGGACTCATATCCTAGCTCCTTCCTTACTGTAGCTATAGAATCTTGGGCTAGTTACTTATTCTTTCTCAGCTTCTACCTTGTCAGAAAAATGGAGACTATGATAATAATCCATTTGGTGAAGTTAAATAAAATGCATATAGCTTGTACATAGTAAGCCCACAATGATTGCAGAGAGACTCCTGGGGTAATAGCAGTTTGATCCTGGGGAAATAAGCCATTTTTATCTTATTTTAGTGAATAATCATAAAAATATAACTGTGCGAATAAGTGTTTTTAATCTGGAAGGTACAGTCTCTGCAACAGGCTAGAGCAAAGGTTGAATAGTGTGGAATGTTCAATAGTTAAAGTGTTTCACTCTAATCATGTTTCCTGCACCTCATGAGACTCAGCCAGTGTCATTTATGCATTCATTTATCCTGTGCATATTGATACCTCCAGACATTAGTTGGGCTTCTACTGTGTGTTGGGCATTGGGTTTAGCATTGGGATACAGTGGAGATCAAAACCAATGGAGCAGCTGTAAACTTTCAGCAACTTAACAACGTTGGTTAATTTTAACTTGTCATCACTTCTTTAGAGCAATAAAACCTGTGCTATTTTGTCATACCCATCCAGCCAAGAACAATAGAGAATAAAACAGCTTCCCACCTCATGACTGTTGTTCAAAGAGCTAATATATGCGATGTGCTTAACACAGGGCTTTGTTCATAATACAAGAAATAGCTCAATACAAATAATGTTTTTTAAGTACTACTACAATGATCATTTTGTGATTTTTTATATTGTTTTAAGCACTGTAATGTTGTTGGAACCATTATTCAGAGGTGGGTTCAGATCTGAGTCTGCCTTATAACAGTTAATGATCTTGGGCAAATCACAGCTGACCCTTGAACAACATGGGTTTGAACTGGAATCTGCTTACATGAGAATTTTTATCAATAATTTTTTTCAACATGTACACTCTCTCTCAGTTTCAGCTCCCTCATCCGCAAAATGGGTAATTTCCAGTGCCATTTCATAGGGTAAGTGACATATTGACTATAAAGTGACTGGTATAGTACCTGGAACATAGTACATGCCCACTAGTTACCATAATCATCAGAATAACTAAAATTTGTGTTGCCATATTAAGTTGACATAATACTTTTACTTAGACATTCTCATTTAATGCTCAAAATACACTGTGAGAGAGGGTCATTAACACTATTGTTATCATTATTATCATGAGACATATTTATAAAATGAGGAGGGGCTCAGTAAGTTGCCCAACACCACAGGGCACATAAGTGGCAAAGTCAGTCCTTTGTCCTAAAAAGCATCACTGGATTTACAAGTGATTTTCAGAGTGATTCTTTAGACTGGGGTGCACACCTCTTCTTAGTTATACTAGGGACTCATCAGTGACCAGCATAGGGGTGAGTTGGCCCTTCTAGATGGACATTTTGTTGGGGAGATAACTTAAAGGATTGGGAGCTATGCAAATGAAGAGCCCATGCCCCCCTCCATGGGCAAAGCCTGTGCTCAGCCAGCCATCTGCTGCCCTGAGGAAAAACTCCATCCCTTTGCTTGCACCTTGATTACAACAAAGAAGTATCAAAGAGATACACTCAAAGATTCTTCAGTCTTGCTTCCAGCATCGTTTAAGGCTCAGCCATACCAACATATTTCTTTAACTGTTGAAAAGATGCTGTTTTTGGAAAAGATTCCCTGAAACGGCTGGTGAGGCTATCACCTTCCCCCACTCCCACTCCCATCCCTCTAGCCAGACTTCTGAGGTATGGGAGTCCGGCATGAGAAGATCGTCTGATGGTCAAAAACAGCTGGGAATCTGGATTTTTATGTGGAATATCCCCGTTTTAAAAATATAGGCACAATTTAAAAGAAAATGAAGCATGACTATTGACTGGATGAGGTTTGGGAATCTGGATTTTTATGTGGAATATCCCCGTTTTAAAAATATAGGCACAATTTAAAAGAAAATGAAACATGACTATTGACTGGATGAGGTTTGGGGTTATTTGCCTCCTCAGCTGGAACCTGGATCCTCGTGCATTTCCAGGTTAGGGACGGTTCCCTGAGCAAGTGGCTTTTAGAATGAGTAGGCATTGTTAGGAGAAGACACCAGCGAGCAGCTTTCTAGAGTCTAGACTTCAGGTGTATACCAGTGAATTTCCCAAGGGCTGGGAAAGGGAGGAGCAGTGGTTCTGGTGCAGCAGGCAGGGGCTCGATCACACTGGCTTTATGGGCCCTGGGAAGAGCAATGGCGATGGTGTGTGGTTGATCCAGTGGGCATATTAAAACATGGCGCAGTGATGGGAATTGACTGGAAAGGGCAAGAAGGTTGCTGGGCAACCTGGTAATAAGCCGTTGCAGCCATTCAAACATCCACTTTTATCGTCATCCCCATAGTGTCAACACTATACCAAGACAAGTTACTTTTCTCCTGCATTTGACTAGATTAAAGATGATTGCCTTTCCACATCACTCTCCCTAAGGACATAAAGGAAGATTTTTGGCTGCTTTCACAGCCTCTGACATCTCTCACCTACTCTGGTTTCCTTTTGGTTCTAATTTACTTTTCTCTTTAATTCTTTCCCCTTTCTATTTTCTTTTTACACCTAAATACCCAATTTTCAACTGTCATTGAATAAGAATTAGGAACATGTTACATTAAAAAATAGCTTATCTGTAAATCAAACCTTCTGGCAAACATTAGGGTTTAGGTACCTAGTGTCATTTTCTTTTATATCTACCTAAGGAAACATTTTTTCCCCCTCCTTATGCTGACATATTTTTTGAGAAATGCAGCCCTCAGGTTATTGTTCTGCACTCTTTGAAGTCACTGTGAATTGAATAAATTTGATGTTTGATGGCAAGCTGCCATGAGAATTTAAACAACTCGTGAGAGAGGATATTATTATTATTTTTCCTGTCATTTTAAATTCTCCAAGGCCATCCCACGGAATGGTGGGGATAAGTGCTGGTCAGCGGCAACTGTCCGTCACTGTGGACTCTCACAACCCCAAATCCCAATGTAAAATTCCTGGGGCCCAAGACCATCCTCCTCGCCTAAGACTTGGAACTTCAAGGCCATCATCTTGACTTGATGACATTGATAGTGAGAGGATTGGGACAAATTAAGAAGAGTGTTAAGGAAACTGTCTTTACCTGATTTCAGCAAAGCAATGCTTGCGTGATAACACAAAATGTGCCATCCTTAGGAGGTTTATTCAAAGGGCATTTGATTCTTGGTTGCTCTTGTGAAGTTATTTTTTTCCTTTTTTCTTTTTTAAATGCACTCAATTTTCTACCTACCCCCCTCCCTTCTTTGCCTTTACTTCCTACTTTGGAAAATGAAATAGAAATCTAACCTTAAACAAGGCTAAGTGCCCAGACTTCTGTGTCCTTGGTACATGGTGGAGGAATCTGGGTTTGGGTCAGTCACTCCATGTGGTGCTAGGTGATGCCTATGTGTGTGGGGCATGGTGTGCTTTTCTGGTGAATCAGGGCTTGCATCTGGTCCCTTTGCCATGTGCTGACTTCTGCGGTGTCTTTGAGATGGCAAATGAATCATTTCTTTCAGATCAGATAAAAAATGGGCCGTGCTCTTTGGAAGCAGAAGTCTTCCAGATAATTCTACGTTTGCACTATAAACTATACCAGTCAATTGCACATTCAAGTTTAGATTTGGACCAGATTTATGCCCCTGAGAAAATCCTATTTTTGCATGATTTAGACAAAAAATGTGTCTGAACAGCATTACCCAGCCTAATTTATATGAAACTGGGATTCTGCCACCTGGGGTTTCGGGTCTGCTCTGTGAGACATGTCTGGTATGTGACTAAAAGACCAAGCAAGGAGGAGGCGGCAGTGGAGGGGGACCAGAGCCCACTTGAAAGGGAGACGGCCATCCCCGCCAACGGAATGGGGCGTGCACAACCAGCTGGGGAGTGAGGCCTCTCCATTGTGCTTTTATTATTGGCTCTTGTGTACAACCAGAAAGGCGCCCCCCTCCCCGAGGCATGCTTGGTTGCTACGATCTGTTTCTGGGGGCTTGTGTGCATCCCAAATGGCATCTCCCTGCTCCCAGACAGGCTTGGGTTGCTCAATCACCAAAGCCTCCAGCGTTCTGATCCATGTCCTTCTGAGCCCCACCTGCATCCAGGAGTGTGTGAGAAGAAGGACAAGACCAAGGCGCCATCCCTGTCACCAAACTTGAGGAATCTTTCTAGGGTGATTCATTCTCACTAGATGGATACTGTTCATTCCTTATCTAAGTCAGAGATGTCCTTGCTGTTTTGGTTTTGTCTTGTTTTTAACTGTCAAAGTCCTCTTTTAAGGCTCCAGGGGGTCTTTGATTGTTGTTCTCAGAGACCAGGGTTATGAATCTCTTTATGGCATGGAAGCTAACCCTGTACGATCTGCACATTTCACAGCTGTTGGGGCCCCTAGAGCTTTGAGAAGTACCTTTTGAGCATTTTCTTAATGCCAGACACTGTTCTGGGGATACACTACTGGGGATGGGGTGAAGAGATTAACAAGACAGATGTGATCCTTAACTCTAAAGGTGCTCACAGTCTAGTGGAAAAAGGAACCACCCTGAATGCAATAATCACAAAATAAATATGTAACTTAAGTGAAAAGAACAGTTTATAATGATGGTCTGATTTAGTAGGCAGCTGTGGTGGTTTCATACGGACGGCCTGACTGACCTACAACTGAGGGATGAACAGTAGCCTGAAATGCCACTCGCAGAAGGAACCAGGCATGTCCTCTGGCTCAGGGTCCCCTGTGATGAGATAGGGTCAACCCCTTGCTCAAGGACACTCAGCACAACTGGAGCAAGGTCACAGCCAGACCCTCGGTGCACTTAAGGAAATGCTTAAACACAATGGCTTTGTAGTCAAAAGGGGCCGAGCCTGACACCCAGATCTTCTGCTCACTAGCTCATCATTAATCTTGCTGGGTCTTCACTTCCACATCTGTGGACCAAGGGTTATAATAGCTGCATCCATAAAGGGATATTTTGAGACATAATTAGGGAAAGTATGTAATGTGTTTGAGCACAATAAATGTTAGATATTACTGTTATTTATTCTTATTTGGTCTTTCAAAGCAACTCTACAGGGTCGAATGATAAAGAAGTACTCCTCAGACCCACCCACAAACATTTTATATTAAACAGAGAGCCACAGAAGTTGCCCAATCATGCATGCATAAATTTGTTCAAAATATTTATTTGTTGGGTTCTTTCTATGGTGAAGATGATAGGAAAGACTCAAAGGACTGCGAAATAGTGTCCTTTCACTTAAGGTCGGATGATGGGGTGGGGCACCGGGTTTGAGAGACCCAGAGGGTTGGAGGCACACTGAGACGCTCCCTTGACAACCCCTTCATTTCCCAGGTGGAGAAACGGAGGTCTGGATCAGGGGGTGGTGGCTGATATCAGTACTCCAGTTCTCTGCCATTTTCCCTCCGATTACCAGCTGGACTCCCTCTGGACTGAGAATCTGCTACATGTCAGTCTCCACTGAACCACTCTAGCAAAACAGCCATAAGATACTGGCAGAGATTTGGAAAAAGTTCCCCACCCCGTTACTTGGCCCAAGGATCTGGGCCACATCTGAAGAGGAACAGAGGAAGCTGAAAATGTTGTCAGTTCATATAAGACAGCAACCGCAGGGGATGGAGGTTTTCCTTTGCCAACATTTCTAAGTGCCTCACAGCTTCCTCCTGATTCTGTGTCCTGGTTTCAAGCCTCTCCAGAATGTGTAGGTTTGGTGTCTGAGCTTGACTATCACAAGTGGTACTTCCATTATGTAATTCTAATGCAAGTCTTAATGTATTCAAGAGGGCATGGTGCAAAGACAGGGCTGCTTTTGGTAAATCCAGTGAGACCCACTCCTTCAGATAACCATTTAGAGATGCCAACCCCGGTTCTCCACAGCCAGGCTGGAGAGGTTGAGAGGTGCTTTTCCTTGGACTATGGTTGGTAAATTCCTAACAGCATAGTAAACATTTTATTCCTAATATTTTTACAAGTGGATTTTCAGGGGCTTATCTGAGGGGTGCCGTCCTGGACCAAGACAGTGGAGGTACCAGGTCAGCCCACAAGGGGACAGGGGCCCAGCCTGATGTTCTTCTGAAGTAGCCATGCGGGGAGCCTTCCGGCTTCTACCGCTGGGACAGTGTTCAGGGATCCTGTTCAAATCACCGAGAGCTGACTTGTGAGCCTCTGATGCCCGCTTCTGCTCCTACGGCTGTTTATCGGCAATTACCCGGAAAGTCCTTCCTGTAATTAACCCCAGCTTCACGGACACTGCTATTTGCACATCATGTCCCTTCTGAACACCGCCTCTTTGCCATTATTCCCTGGAAAGATGAGTCACTGAAGGAGATGGCTTATCTCAACTCAATTTTTAACTAGCTTTTGTCTCCCAGAGATATTTGTCAATGACACAACATTTCAAACCAGGCACTCCCTACCACCCCCTCCCCCACTTTCTTCAACTTCTTCTTTTTTTATTTTAATAACATTTTCTCCCTTTCTGCTTTTATATTTCTTCCTCTCCCTCCCTTAGCCTTTCATGCATTCAGGATGTAGGAGAGCCAGCATCAAAGCCCAGAGCACTGCCGAATCCTCCTCCCTACGGTAAGCGTGCCCTTTCCCTGTCTGATCATTGACTCATAACCACAGAGTGTCCCAGGCACAGGACGGGGGGGACGGAGGGCTGAATAAGCAGGGACCACGGTCTGCAGCCTCAGAGGAGACAAAAGTGGAGGATTTGTTCAACATGGTTCTTTCGCCCCTTGGGGGATAATTGTTTAGGACAATCTGCGCTGACCCAGTCCAAGGAGAAGAGGGGGTGGAGAAGCCAGCACCCCCACCCCCACCTCATCAACTGGCAACTCCAACCGAGTGAAACTCCGCTGGTCGGGCTCCAAATCCCAAGGCCAGCCCAAACCTAAACCCACTCCCTGGGCATCTCCGAGACTTTTGATTGCCTTATTTAATTTTAATTTGATTGCACTTACATGTATTGATTGCCTACTATGTGCTGACTATGAGTTGACAGGTGACAGCCACAGGCTTAAACCCTGTGGAAGTTAATATGTCCCTGCCCTTCAAGCCAAAATTTGCAGGCCAAAGACAGCCCTGAGCTTCCCCCAACCGCCTCCCGCCCATTCCTCCCTCCCCTTCTGTCTCCATTAGGCATGAATGGGCATCACATCTGTTTCCTTTCTTGCTGGAAAGCAAGAGGCAAAGACCCTAAAATGGGGACAGACCAGCACATACCTGGGTGGTCTTTAAATTAGAAAAAGTCTCTGCCAGAATCCCTCATTTGGGCCTGGAATCTCAATACTTTTCATTGCTCTCTGCCCCTGTAGGTTGGGAGAAGTGGGGTGGGGGGGCCATCCCATCCATTGTCTTGCTGTCCTTCTCCCAGGCTCACACATGTTCCTCCTCGTCCTGTCTCCAGCCCTGGATTCTTCACTCGGCCCACCAAGCATGGTCTGGGGCACTAACAAAGCAGAGGTAGAGGTAGGAATGGTGTGGGGGAAATGAGGAAGAAACCATTTAAATTTTAGCATATGTACAGTTTAGGTCCTTTTGAAAATGAAATTGTTTATGTCATGGTTTGGTATCATTTTATTTTAAGTGCAGGAAGTAGAGCTGGACTGTCTGGGTCAAAATCTCTGTTCTCCTGCTGCGTGACCCTGGAAGCTGTGCCTTGGGTTCCTTATCTGTAAAATGGGCACAAAAGTTCTACCTCATTGGACTATTGTGAGGACCAGTGAGTTAATACACTAGACTGTATGTTATCTCTGGTTAGTTGCTGGTGACGGCTTCCCGTGGTGTATGTCTACTCTCCTGTCCTTGTTGCAAGAGGGCATTCAGATACTGTCCTCTGGGCATTGTTCTGTCATTGAGAAACCTGGACATCTGTGATTTCACGCAGTACCTTCTTTCTTATATAAAATCACAAAGTAAGAATTAAGATGCCTGGGATTCAGTCACTCTCCCAGAGTCACTAGGCTCCAGGCCTCTTCTTGGGTCTAGATTTTCCATCGCCATCAGAAACATACATGGCCTCAGACTCTCTTGGGGTAGGGTTGCCAGATAAGTATATCTCAAATATTGCATGGGAACATACTTATGCTAAAAAAAAAAATTATTGATTGATTATCTGAAATTCAAACTGAACTGGGTATCCTGTATTTTTATTTACTAAATCTAACAGCCCTACCTGTGGATTTTCCCTACTGGTGTTTTGGTCAACTGTCCTGTGTCCCTAAAGTGGACAGAAGTCAGCTGGGCTTCTGGAGTGGGCTTTTCTCAGAAAGAAGCTCAAAAACTCCAGAGCAGATAGAAGGAGGGGGTGGGGGATTCTCAATGAGAACACGTCTCCCTGTTCCTTATAAAGGTAGGGAGAGCCATTCTTAAAGTAACCATCTATGAATGGCTAACAGAACAAAAGAATATGCCTTCTGGAGGTTTTATATTTTTTTAGACTTCAATATAATATTTGCGTGTGTGTGCATAGACGTGTGTGCTGGGAGAGCAGTAGCCGTGGGAATGATACAATTAGTGGCTTCTGTGTATCTGGGCTATGCTGATGGGTCTCATGAACTATGTGGTATGTAGTCTTTCATTTTTGTACATACTTATAGCATGTATAGCCAAATGATTAAACTGTTTGGTACAAATGCCTGAAACTTTCCAAGTTCTTTTTGCTTTGTTAACTTTTTCCAACTTACTGGAAGTTTGAATTCACTCATGAATGGGTGATATTAAGTAGAGGAGGAATCAAACATGGGGCATAGTAGTGTGTTATTTTGGAATTTGCCAAGGGAACAATCAAATAAGCCTGGGTAGGCTTTCGTGACTGTTATGTGAGGGTCAGCTGATCAGTTATTAGTATTACTAATAATCATGAATAAAAAGGAAAATTGCTATCTTAGAACAGGTTTATTAAGAGTGTCCGTTTTATAGAAAATGCTTCCCACTGAGCCTCATCATCATCTGTGGGGCTTGTAATGTCAGTGAGTTGTATAGCCTGAAGAAGAAAGATGTTTAGAAAATGTATGTTTCTTTCTTTTTTTTTTCTCCAGAGAGTGATGAGAGAAATTATTTAGTCTCAAGGCACAACAGTGCTGTGATTCAGATCCCAGTATTTATAGAGGCAAATTAGTTGGTGCATCAGCATACTAATGTGGTAGAGAGCAGCCTGTTTGGAGGGGGAATGGGGTCGGGGGTGGGATATTTCTCCGAGGTGGTTAAAGGAGACCCAAGGAGGGACCTCCACAGCCCCTCAGTTCCTCACCTGAGGAGGAAGTTTGTTTGGCTCTTGGTGTCTTCCAAACTTTTTTTTCTCTTGTCTTTGCAAAGCTGCGGTGAAACATAATTTTCTCTTTGTCATATCAGTAAGATCTCATCCAAGTCCAAAAGATTAAAAAGTAAATAAGTAAATAAATAAATGAGGTCATAATTTCTTAATTAGATCCTAAAAGAGACTGCTAGGAAGTATTTTACCAAAATTAAAATTCCAATCCATGTTCGGAGTTGCAAGATGATATTTCAGCCCCTCGGACCCCGATCTTTTCTAAAGTCAGCATGAGCTCTCTGGTCTATTAATTCTACAGCTTCCCGCAAAGAGATCAAGGGACTAAGTTGCAGGCATAGTTTGTGGTGTAGCAGGAAATCAGCGACAAACTCTGAGAGATTAAAGGAGTTTGGATTTAAGAGTAAAAATATAATGGAAGCCACTTTTTGACAGAAACTGTTTCCAACACATGTGCAGCAATCATGAGCCAACAATAATATAATTTACATTTACCCTCTTTACCTGCAAGAAAGTTACTTTGTTTCCTCCCATTCATTGGATTGACAATGTATCCTATTATAAATTATAAGTAGTTTGACTTAAAAATATCCCCTTTCCATAAATCTAACTTTAGTATTTTTGGTCTAATTTTCAGAAATGAGTCACTCCAGTTAGGCTTCTAGGCATGGCACAGATCAGCTGCAGCACACGGTGCCCCCCAAACCCTATTTTCAGATGTTTTACTTAATTACGATGAGATGGGATCTCCCTCCTCTCACAAGTCTTGGTACCTGCTGGCTCGCCCTTTTCCCTCTTACCCAGAAGGGCCCATCCTTTTTCTTCTCAAATCCTATATAATTTTTTGCATTTCCTGATGTTTATCTTGGGAAAACAAAAGCCAGCTGCAGTCAGTTAAGGAAACAGCTGAAGGATGCTGGCAGGTAGAGGACTTGCAGGTTTTCATTCCCGAACTATAAGAGCTGAAATGCAACATGTCGGGCTGTGGGGACTTCTGCACTTCGTAGATCCCACTCTTCCTGCCTACACACAGCCGCTCACGCACACACGTACATGCTCACGCACATCCCTTTTTCACGCACGTCTCTTTTTCTCGCCTCTTGCCCAGCATCGCCCTCACTTTCCATAGCTGCATTTCTAATCGGCAGAAGATACATCTTGCTTGGAGCCAACACTTTTTCTCTGCATTCTTAACCTCCTATCTTATGCATGGATCACTGGTTAGCTTAGAAATGCGCAGACACAAAGGAGAAGCTGACATTCGAGGTTTGACGGCCATAATGGCTGTTTATAAGCCTAATCCATCACGTTTAGTGGACACCTCCATTTTTGTCCCTCTGAAAAGGTATAAATAATAAAATGGGATAGCTCCAGCTCAGAGGTGCCTTGGTAAATATTTTAACTATTTACAAGATTGCACCAATAACAAAAGAAGCATCTGTACCATCCACAGAGGGGCCCCCAGTCATTAAAAGAGACCCAGATGGTTCCTACCATTCAACCAACAATAACATTTCTTGATGGCAGAGCTTTTGTACCATGGTTTACAATTATTTTTTTTTCAATTCACACTGTGATTTTTCATATCACATTCTGAACTTGTCCTCCTTTTTTTTGTCCACTGACCCCAGCAACCTTTCTAAAGAAAATCTCCCTAAATAGCCTTTCCCCCTACAAAAAGAATACAGCTTTGGAGGAACATGGAAAATGTACGTTTCAAAGCCCAATTCAGAGACAAGTCTGAGCAATTATAACTGAGCCTTCTCCAAGTCCAAATATTGACATGGGCCCACTCATTCTGTGGGCAAACACCCGAGCTGAGCCCCAAACGCATGGAGCCATCTCAGACTGCGGGCAGGACTCTCCCTCATTCGGTCCGAGTTTACCCTTTCCTGCCAGGCATAAAGAAAGTGCAACAGGGCCCAAGGAAGCCCAAGGGTGACTTTTGGAGTTAACAGTATTTCTTCTCTGAGGGCCCTGTGTCTAACTACGGGGGGCACACTGTGGTGAGGACAGTATGTGGCTTTTGAAATCTCTCAGCCAGTCAGTTCCTTTTTTTGTTCTGAGTATGAACAAAACAGAGAATCCACAGCCCATAGCTGCTTAGTAACCACTGGAAAACTTTCATTCTCTCTAACGCACCAGGAAAAGCAACTTTTTAGTTCTACAAAGATGGCAAAGAGAGAGCAGGTGAGGGGAGTGGTTAAGGCAGCCAGGTTCCGGAGTCGGGAGTCGGGATAGGCCTGATTTGGGTCTCAGCTCTGCAGCCCGAGGCAAAAGCTTTCTCTGCTTTGAGATTCAGTTTCCAGTCTATAATATGGCGGCAGTAACCACATGAACTTCCCAGGGTGACTATGTGCATTTCGGGAGATGATACATTTAAAGCAGGGAGCTGACCACTCAATAGAGATGGCTGTAATTAATATAGAGAAACCCACTACAGAGAAAGCCAATCTTTTGAAATCGGAAGACAAGGCCGACAGCCATTTCAATTCATGCTCCCTGCTGACAACGCTGGCATCTGAAGTTTCCTTCCGGGGTGGGGTGGGGGTGAGGAACACAGAAAACCAAAACTATGTGACCAGTCCTTGCTTTCTTTGAGAAACCTGAATGTTCATTTCTTTTCCAAACGCTCTATTTAATTTTGGAGTTCCCACTTACCAAATTTGGTCAATAAAATTAACAGCCTCCTTTAGAGTGGAACATCACACCTCCAAATGAGCTCAAGCTGGCGCAGGGATTGTCCTGCGGAATGTGAGATTTACATTTCACAGCTCCTCGCCAAGTAATGAATGAATCAGAGCTCGTAAACAAACGATCCTCGCTTCCCTTGTTCTGTGGCCCCCAATGTGGGGTGTGTGCTGCAAAGAAAAATATTTATCCTGTTTGTCTGGTGCTGGGTCCCTGAATGGCCCACCAATAAAACAACATCATAAAGGGCATTTCACAGCTGAGCTCGCAATTTAATAAACAGATGCAAACAGAAGGCCTTGGAGGTCAACAATTAAAAATAAACCAGCCAGAGGTTCTCCGTGGAATTCCCCTTCTCTATAAAGTGGGGAGGACCAGGCCCCCGCAGCTGTGACAGAAGTGGGTGAGGGGTGGGAAAGAGCTCAGGAGTGTTCTACCTGTTCTAAATGATTATTCCAACTACTGCCTTTCTAGCAAGAAAGGGCAACTTTGATAGCAGATGAATAAGTCATGTACCCGAAGTGGCTGGAAAATGGTACAGTAACCTTAGTTGACAACACATGCTCCATGTCAATTTCTCTATTTTCTGTGAGGAAGACAGTAAATATTGGAGCAAATGATATAAAACAGTGGAGAATCAAGGAATGCCTCTTGGGTAGTTGGGTTTAGAATAAGTTTTCTACCTAAATATGAAAGTGTGTGTGTGTGTGTGAGTGTGTGTGTGGTGTGTGGTGCGGGCAGGGGAAGGGGTGGGGGGTATCGGCTAAATAACAAAATCACTGAATAAAGGCCTAGAAATTTGGCTACGATCAGCGTCATGTACCCACTTTCCTCCAGATCCTCTCTAATCACTGCTTAGATCAAGGCTGTCCACAAGCCGGGCACACCTGTCAGCTCCATCCTACTCTGTGTTTCCTGGGTATGATGTGATCAGGCTCATAGACTATCTCTCCATGCCTCACTTTTCTCTTAAGTTAAAAAGGCTGTAAGGACACTACCTGGTTTCTGGCTGAAACTGTTGGCTGAGGACCGAGGAGGCCATTCCTGGAAAGCTTTTAAGACAGTGTTTGCCAACAGAAAGGGCTCAAAAAATGCTTGTTCTTTTTAACAGTATATTATGGGCTCACACTTTCTGTTGGCCCAGAGAATTCCACTGTGGCAGGTCACACTCACCTAATTTGAAAATGTGTTGAAGGCCTGTAAACCCCCCATTCTGACATGCTCACCCTCACAAAATCCCAAATGCCTGCACAGCTAATGCCTACAACCTCCCCACATTCCTCTGCTGATAAGGGGAAATGAAGGATGGGCTTTAAGATAACCATTTGCTAGGAGGGCAGACCTCCCGTGAGGACCCATCTGGCAGGCAGGGAAGGGAGACTTGTGTCAAGTGGCCAGCCACACCAGGCTTCACTCCTGCATCAGCTCCAGGACCCGAGCCACCCTGACAGTCCTCAGTGTAGATGACCACAGGGATGGGTCTGATTTACGCCCTTAGGAGCTCATTTTCCTTTCACATAAAGAATAGGGGCAATGAGCGTAAGAAATCATTCAAGCACTTTTTATTGAGGTCACTCTCCTAAGTATCCAATTATACCAAATGGATTCCTGAATATTGTTATATATTTATACCAAATATGAATATGTATTTAGGTGGGGTCCCACACTGCCTTGTGTGTTTTTGGTTATTGGTACCCTGCTCCCACGAATTAGTTACTTTGGAATCATACAGACTTGAGTATAAAGTCCCTCCCCTCCTTGCAAAATTTTCCCCTTTTTCTAAAGAAATGTTAGTATGTAAAGAGCACTGTTAGGAAACTGGACTCAGAATTATTGTCTCCCTCTCCTTTTCTAGGTGCCAAAGACTTGTATTTTCCTTCTCTGCAAGTATTTATTAGTATTAAAAGAAGATCCTCTCCTAGGTGCTTTCTCACCCCTCCTTAGGGTAGGCCTGAGCAGGGGCTGTCATCATCCTGTTATCACCAAAGAAAAAATGGGGATTCTGCGGTATGTCACTTTTAAGTAGCAAAAGTCCATGCTTCTTTTTCATCCCTAACTTCTGATTTTTCATTTTTATCCATACTGAACTTTAAAAATTTGATTGTAGTGAAATATAAATTCATACAGAAAAATGTTCAAAATAGAAATGTACAGTTTAACAAATAATTACAAAGCAGCCACCTAGGCAACTACAATCAAATCAAGGTAGAGAAATCTCCATCTCCCCTTTCGTTCCTTTTTGATCAGGACACCAGAACGGATAGAGCCACTATTCTCACTTTTCTGACAATGGTTTTTCCCTTTGTTATATAGTTTTGCTGTCTCTATGAGTATTCATAAACAATACAGTTGAGTTTTGCCTCTTCTTGAACTTTATAGGATTAGGTGTATATTGTGCTTATGCATTTGTGTTTTCTTCCTTTTCTTCAGTAGTAGGTTTGTAAGACCCATCCATGCTGCTGAGCGAAGCCATGGCATGCTCATCTTCTGTATTATGCAGTATATTCCATTTGGGGACTGCACCCTGATGACTGACTATGTGTCCATTCTAAGTTGGTTGACATCCGAGTTGTTCTCCATTTTGGTGGGTGTGGTCGTCTGCAAAAATTATTTATGTCTCTCTATATCCATGCCCTCTTCCAAATGACTTAGTTCGTCTAATAAAAAGAGGTGATGGTATGCCAGGAGTGAGCCAAAGCTTCAAGAGGCCTTACGTATTTCTGCCTACTCTCCCCAGGTCTGCCATCATCCTTAGAAGGTCATGGGCATGCTAGGCTGCTCAGGTAAGGAGGAAGATGAAAAACGTGGAACAGAGTAAGTTAAAAAAATGCGTGAGCTAGGCCAACCAAAATCAGCTGAACTCTACGAATGCATAAACAATAAATGCTTACTGTTGTGTGAAACTGGTATTTTGTAGTTGTTATGTAGCCTTATTTAGCAATAAGTTAAGTGATACAAGCTACCATAGATAATACTTAAACACTTATAAATGTCATTGCCAAAATTTGTCATTAACTCAGATTTCTCAAACTCCAAAGACTGAGTTCTTTCCATTGTACTGGACCTTAGTCTTTTTTTAAGAAGTATCAGTGAAAAACACCATCTAGAAATCAAAGTCAGACTCCTAGCTTATGGGTCAAAATGTGAAAATCAATCTGTGGCTTTATGAGCTCTCTATTTTTTTAAAATTAATTTTATTTTAGATTTGGAGACTTCAGCTTCTCCAATCTCTATTTTGTTTTACTGGGAATACTTTTTGTGCATGGCATTCTCTTTGTTTTCATTTCTCTGTCCTTTAGCAGAAATTAGGGAATGATCATACAGCAAGGTCATCCAGGTATCCAAATCAGTACTTATTCTGGGTCAGCTTGAATCCAGGGATCTTGACCTGATGGCCCTTAGGACAAATTTAGTCCACAGACACATTTCATTTAGTCCATGGAATTTTTTAAAAAGTTTGAGCCAACATGAAGAGAAACCCAGGGATTTCACACAATAGATGAATTTTTCTATTATTTTCAGGATATTTACTAATACTGGGCTGTACTCCTGCATGTTAAACATTTAATGAAGCTAAGAAGTGGTTGTCCCTTTTTGAGGGACACCTGGTCTCTAATTTGCCATAGTCTCCACTACTCCTTGCTGCTCCACTGTATTGAGACTGAGTGTTGGTTGCCATTTTAATAGCCATTATGATACTGTTTCCTCATGATGGAGAAATATTTCTCTGCACCTATAGCTAACAAAAATGGAACAATAAAAGAGACTGAAAGTTCTAATTTACTTTTCTAGCCCTTCAGACTCTAATAAATGTCTTTATTCAATGACAAATGTGCAATTAGATCTTGTCACTCAGTTCCCAGCTCAAAAACCTTAAATGATTCCCCATTATCTACTGAATAAAGTCTAAATCCTTTAGTTTGGCATTCAATTTCTTTGCATCTCAATCCAAATGTCCTTTATAACCACATCTCCTAATCTCTATATCAGTGAATCTGAGGCTCTAGCAACCTTATACAAATCAAAACTTCTGAATCTTCTGGATGCCACTGCTTATTCCTCATCCTTCTGTTTTGGCCAATGCTGTTTCCTCCTCCTGAATTGTCAGTCCTAAATGTCTTCTTTCTTTTGTCCCTTTGGTTAAAATGTCTGCTAATTCTCATCTGCTAAGGATTAAATTAAATGCTTCTTCCTCTATGATGCCTTCTCTGGGCCCCACCATCAGTATTAATTATCTGGTTTCTTTTGGATCTCCAGCTCTATGTATTGTCACTTCAAAACATAATCTTTCTGCTCTGATTTATGATCATGCACAAAATAAGAGCTAATATTGTTTGGGTGCTTACTTCATGCAAAGGACTATGCTACATGTTGCACGTGTGTTCCTTAAACCTCACAGCTGTGCCCTGAGGTAGATGTGATTGTTAAACCATTTTACAGATGCGGAGACTAAAATCAGAGTCTCAACATCAAAGTCACGTAAGTCGTTTAGGTAGGATTTATGTCCTGGCATTTGGCTGTAGACTCCACATTCCTAACCACTGGGCCAAATCACCTCACTAGCTTCTCCTACCCAATGATTAGACAGAAACTGCATGTAATTTATTTATGTTCCCTAGCTCATCCTAACACAAATGCTTTCAACATAATAAGTATTCAATGAATGTTCAATAAATGATAGAATTGGTGGCATAAAAAACTGTGCCTATATGCTTACCATTTCCCTTTACTCCTAAGAAACCGATTGCACCACTTTACCCTTCAAGCTTTTGGTGATTGTTTTGTGGATGGACATCTGAGACAACCTAACCAATCTAATCTTCTCGTAACTCTAGGTATCTCCAGGATTGGGCTGAGCCAATTAGAATCATTTCCTGGGACTTTTCTGTCTATCACCAAGAAAGATCACCCATCTGTCACCAGTGGTGAAAGCTGTAAGAGATAAAACTTGGGAGGCTGGGGTGACCATGCTTCCTGCCATGCCAAAGAAGCAAATCTGCAGACAGTGAAAATTAGGACAGGCAAAGAAAAGCTGACATACAAAGTATAGAGACATTCTGAATAGCATCTGAATTACTATTTGTTATTGTTATTGCTGTCATTCCTAAAATTAGGCTCCAAGGAATAATTACCACTTCATGGAGCCAGGGACCTGTGACCTTTCCAAAAATCCATATATGAGTGTTTAACAGAATACTGAACATATGGAGTGGTTATGAAATTATTTTAATGAAAAATAGGGCATTATAAAAAAAGTGAAGTATGATTCAATTGAAGACCATAAAAATTTTTTTTTTCAGTTGTTAGAGATGGGTATTATAACTACATAAAATAATTTTACTAGGGAAAAGAAACCCTTCCTTCAGCTTGGATGGTCAGCCTTTCCTGGAATTCTTGAGACAATATATCCCCCTTTGTGACTAACCTAGTTTGAATTATGTTGCTGTCATTTTCAAAATAGTCCTCATGGATATACAAAGAAGTAGGGTAATGGACACAGATAAAAGAAGAATTGTGTAATTTTTTTGAAACCTACAAACTCATGATGCTTGAAAGTTTAATAATGAATGACACTTGCTGTCCATGAACGCACAAATTATTTTAATTTCTTATTCACCACTGCATCGGCACCTGGCCCCATGACGGGCACATAGTAAGATTTCATAAGTGTTGATTGAATGAATGTGATACTCAGGATTATGGAATGTTAACAAGGTGTGATGGGGCAGAGAGAAGGGAACTAAAAGTCCTGCTAGGGTACAGAGTTGTAAATGTTCTGGGAGAGCTTTCCAAAGGGGAGGATGCGTTTGAGCTGAGCCTTGGACAAGGGCTAATTGTTTAGTGGGTAGAAAGGGAAGATGGGAGTCAGAGGCAAATGCGTATGTGAAAGTGGGAAGCATAAAAGAGCATGGTGAACTCCAGAAACGGAAGTAGCTCGATAAGACCGGATTATGGTATTAGAGAAGTCTGGGAGAAGAGGCTGGTGAGGTAGGTTGGGCTGAGAAATGCAAATAGAAAAGATCAAATATTTACATAAGCTCATTAGTGACACTGTGTGCATGTGACAAGTATGATTTAGTTTAAACCTCCAAGGTTTAAATACCCTAAGTGCAACTGTATCTTTTTGAAATTGATTACATGACATTAATAGGCTCTTTCTCAGCTCCACTGGTGATCATATTCATGATTTACTTCCATCTCTCATCCCTGGGGTCAGGAACAGTCCATCCTGACCTCCATCCTTCCTCTTGCTAGTTCCTCTGGAACAAAATATTAGCTGCTGGAATCCTTCTGGTTTTTGTTCTTTATATATAGGTAAGCAATTTTGTTTCCAAAGTTTAGCAGGCAAATTCCTATTATTATGAGGACCAGTTAAAAAAAAAAAAAAGGATTCTGTGTCACAAAGCTATTTTCATGATCCTCTGCATAATCCATTAAATATAATTCAACAAGAATTTTGTTGAGAACTTGTAAGATACTCTATATTAAGGAGGCATACTCTAGGAATATCTAAGAACTCAAAAGTACTCAAGGACAGAATCCCTTCCTTTAAAAACCTTACAGATTTGTTAAGGAGGCAAGATCAATATCATTAATTTTGCTATCCCTTGCTTTTACAACATAAAATGTTTACAGATTACAAACCATTTTGTCTATATTCTTACATTTGACCTTATCTGTGCAGTAGTTGGTATTAATGATTATTGCTGTAAATTAGGTAATGGGTAAGGTCTCTAGAGAAAGGCAGCATTGGGTCCAAACCCTTGATTTGATACTTATTAATTATGCATCAGATAGGTAGGTAAGTAATGCCACAAGAACAAAGAATCCCAAGATCTCAGTGATTTAACCTGGTAAGTTTATTTCTCACCTATGCCTATGTTTACTAAGGGGTGACTTGAGGGTCTGTTCCTCACATCTGACTCCAGAAATCAGAATGATAGAGCAACTGCCTTCTCAAGTGTTGATTCAATAGAAGAAAAGAGAGCTCTGAAAGTTCTTGAGCCAGTAGTTAAGTGCTTCAGCTCAGAGTTAGTGCACTTCCCCCAAGAATTCATTGGCCAGAACTAGGCTCATGTCCCAACCAAACTGCTATTAGGTAGGCCACTTTCTAAAGGTAAGTCATAATTTTTACTCTAAGGTTTCTAGCAGTCATTGCAAAATGGTTTATAAGCATTATGGTATCTGCATGACTTTCAGTTTCTGTCAAATTTGAAAACAAAATTCCATTGTTCAAAATCCCGTAATTTCATCTACATTTGTGATTAAAGGCAGATGAAAATGTACGATTTCAATTTTTTTCTCATAAAGGTGTCATGGGATGAAATAACTGATATTTACAGCAACATCCTAAGCAAACACATGGATTTTATGGGGCTTCTTTTAATACTAACCTTGAACATTGGCCAACAGCAAAATACTAAAGTGCGACTAGATGACAGCACATTTGTAGGGGTCAGGACACAGGTTGTGGCACGCAGCACTCTGTGGAGCTGGCTTCATCAAGGGATAGATTTTGAGCCTATATTGGAGAAGTTGCAAAATGTCAGTGTTTCCACCAAATCCAACTGAATCTTAAATATGTTCTACATGTTTAAAACATTTTTATTAGTTGCCAATTAAAAGGTCTAGAGATACATGTGAAAATCTAAAGTTTCAGCCTTTATGGAAAAAATAAGTATCTGGCAACATTTGACCAGATCTGGGCAGCACCTGCCTTTATACAGGAGGCATTAGCCATCCAGTTCACAGTCTCTGCTGGTCCTTTTCACTCCAGAATGGTACCTGCCTTGTCCCTGTTGGCATTTAGTTGCAGCTTCTGATCTGGAGGACTGAATGCATTGTTTTCTCTTTGGATAACACTTCGAATACTTTCTCAAGTGAGTTTTTTAGGAAGCAGTAACTTCAAGGTATTTCCCAAACCAGAATTTGGTATTATTATCCCCATTTTACAGATGACAGAATTGGAACTTAAGTTAGTGACTTGCCCAAGGTCACACAGCAAAGTGACATAACTTCTAAGGAGCAGAGTGGGATTTAATATCTGAGCATACTGACAAGGCTCTGTTAGGCCCAGCCCCTTCCTACTGCTCTCTCTCCAATTTGTTTTCAAAGCTCCAGCATCACTGTCCTTTCAAGGCTTTGATCCTTTGAAAGTGTCCTGCTCATTCCACCCTCATGATCTTTCCGCTTGTTCTGCCCTCCATGTGGAATTTCTTATTTCTTCTGTCCTCTCTTCCTACCATTTATTCGCCTGACCCCAAGAGAGCTCATTCACTAGGGTGACCATCTTGGTATGTGTTACCTAGTTCCAAATGATAAGCTGAACTCTCTACTGGAAATTGGCACTGAGATAATGAAGAAAGCAGCCAGCTAATGTACTGAACGGGACCTAAAAGTCCACATCACATCAGGGTGAGCCTGCCATGGTGGGCTGTTCTATGGGAACTCATGCCCTTACCAGAACAGTCACGTGCCAGAATGTGCATAGAAATTCAAGTATGAAAAAGATAACCTCCATCTCCAAGAGGCTGACACACGAGTCCAATGACTCTAGAATTTTAAGGTACATCTAAAACACTTGGGAAGCACTTCTTCAAAATACAGATCCCTGAGCTTTAACCCTAGAAAGTATGACTAATAAGACAAGAGTGACAGTTCAAGTGGAACACCAGGACCGCTGAACTCAATGTCTCTTTGTTTTTTGGTAAATACAAAATTCCCCTATCACTTTGGAAACTCCGTCTCCCCATTCTAACTGCCCTGGTCCCCAACCTAGGACCCCTTGGTTCTTCCTGTAATCATAAAACAGAAGAGTAATGCATTGCAAAGTTGGGTGCCCTGAAGTCCCTTGCTGGTGCTGCAGGGAGCACTCACTCTGATCCATACAATTCCTTATCATTTGTTACATTTTGTATTTGACTCACGATGACAGCGTGTGCATACCTGCATTTTATCAGGTACCCAGAAACTTCTAATCTAAGAGACAGGCTTAGCCATACCTTAGAAACACTAATCTCATGGATTGATGAAACAACAGAGGTAATGACTGTGTAATAAATGCCATGATCAAGGTACACAAAGGATGGAGCAGGAATATAGCAGAAAGACTGAACTGGGTTGTTGGGGAACCATCCAAGGAGAGATAAAATGAGAAACATCTTGAAAGGCACTCAGGAGCTCTCCAAGAGGCAAGCTTCAGTTGCCATTATGGAACATTCTCAACTCAGTAAGAAAGGTACCATGTCCACCTGTGAGAAGATGGGACATTATTAAGCAGCCAAGTGGACACTGAAAACAAAATGGCAACATCAAGGTGCAGAGAGGGACTTCCTCCAGCTGCTGAGAAACAAAAAGGACCATATCTCCCTTTCCGTATTTACCCAACAAGCCATTACCTATGAGCTTCTCAGAGGTGCATGCAGTGGTACAGTAGGAATTAATGGGATTTGGAGAGTGTTGGTGGATTAGACACTTTCTTTTCAGAAATAGTCAATGCCTCTCCCAGGCTTTCAAGAGTGGAGTATAGTTCCTCACCTTTGACCTTAGACATGGTCGCCTGACTTGTGTTGGCAAATGAGATCTGATTGGACAGGATATGCAGTGACAGGGTGTATTTGGGTGGCTGAGTGTGTACTCTTGCATGTCCACCATCCTTACAAGACAGTCACGCCCTGCCTAGCTTCCTGGAGTCAAGAGGAGGGTGAGATCAGTCAACCTACAGGTACATGAGCTGAATAAGTGCTTACTGCTCTATGCTACTGAGATTTCTGGGTTGTGGGCTACACAACCACAGCTAACTGATGGGGCAGTGTTTAACAAAACTATGCTGAGGGCTAGAGAAGCCCACCAAATTGGACTGAACTGTCTTTACTATTTTGCTCCAAGGTAGCCAAGGAATTAGCCATGGTTCCAGAATATTCTCTTAAGAATAGAAAAAGGCCAAGGAAATTAACATCACAACATAATCCTAATGTATTTTGACAATTTATTGAGCATGATATGCCAGGCTCTGTGGTGTGTTCTTTAGGTGGATTATCTCATTGAATTGAAGTTCCTCTCTCAACCAGTCCCGTGTCCCTATGCTCTTTTTGGAATAATTGTGAGGCCCAGAGGGGGACCAGTTTGCAGACTGTGCATTTTTTGGTTCCTGTCTAGACCATTCAACCCAAAACTGAAATAGCTGAACTGAACAAGAAGCCGGGTTATAGGGGGTGAAGTAGGGGAAGGGCAAGCCTGGGGAGGGAAAGGGGACAGAGGGCTTAAAAATAGTGGGAAAAATATTGCATAAGGGTTTGGAGGTAAACAAAGCAGTAGTTTCAGTGTCTTTTCCTACAACTCAAATCATGGGTCTTAGGAGTATGTATTAGTTGTTTAGAGTCAAAGGTAGGTGTTCAGCTTTCTAACAAACAAAGGTCCCATGCCAGACAGGCCCAGGCTGTCTCATCTTGCAAGCACAGTGGGGTCAGCGTGAGACTCTATTAAACTCTGAAAAAGAATGTAATGCTGTATGACATGCACTGAACATTGATGTGCAAATCAGGGGAATAAGTGCTTTGCATAAATTATCTCCCTTAACCACCTTCTAAGTCATGTACCACAAATACGCCCATTTCATACACTAGGAAACCAAGGCTCAGGGAAACTAAATCCCCTTCCAAAGGCAAATGGCTAAAGTTAGGTTTCAGGATTGCCTAAATTTAAAGCCATCATTATATCTCATTTCATCTTACACTAAGTCTCCAAGTCATCAGTGGCTAACAAAGTCTCATCTGAGCTAATTGCTTTAGGACAAGGCAAGAAGTTGGAGGAGCCTATAGGAATCAGCGGTGTCAACTCCATATACCCCAGAGTGCCTGATCCAGACGAGTCCAGGCAGAGCCCCCAGCTCTGTCGGGGGTTCTGAGGCACAGACAGGCGAGAAAGCCAGCCCCTCATTTTAGCGAGGGAGGAAGTGAAGTCAGACAGGGGACCAAGTTTCCACAGTGAGAGAGCGGGGACCCCTACCCAGAAACCGGGTGGCCCCACACCCAGAGCCTTTGTCTTTCTTCTGGGTCAGGCTGCTGCCCCCTTGTTGTTTCTGGGGCGTGACTCATGATAGGAGCTGATCCTGGAACTTTTCCCTCCCAGGGCGTCTCTCTGACAAATGTCACTTTCTGGTTTGGAGGAATGAGGGAAGAATTCCAAGAAATTAAACGTTTGTAAACCAGAGCACTTTATGTTCCTTCCTAGCTTAACCAGTCACTGATTTTTTTTTGTGTGTGTAGGAAAGACACACTGAGCAACTCCATTTAAAGAAATACTGGAACTAGAGCCAATGGTGACACTGAGAGGTTTGTCAGCCACAGTGAGCAAGAAAAAAACAATCTTACAGCCATAGTATTTTTGGTGGGGGAAACTCTCCACATGTCCTTCCTGCATATGTAAGGTCTGCCTTCCTCTGCCTTTGTGAGTGCACACGTGTGGGGGTGTTGGGGTCTGCCATTCACTGAATGGACATTTGCTAAGTAGCTATGATGTCTTCTTGGGAGACAGATGAAAATGCAGTCCTGCCCAACATATTCATGTTGAAAATTGGCTTCATCAGGAATCATTACTTGCAAGGAATAGAAATCTCCCTAGACCAGCTCAAGCACAGTGGAGATATTGCTGAAAGGATACAGGGTACCTCCCATAAGGAGCAGCAGAGAGGAAGCAGGACTTGGCCACTCAGGGACAGCAACTTCAGAGCCATGATATCTAAGTTTGTTTCTCTCTATGATGTTTCCTTATTGTTTCTTTCTGAAGATTCTGTCAGTCAGTATTCTCAGTTGCAAATGAGGGACATTTTAGCTGGACCAGGGGGGCACTGTGGCCTTGCCAGTTTTCCTCCAGTCCAGGCTGTGATCAGATTTGGGTCACCCTGGCTGGAAAGCAGTGAATGGGGTAAGCTGGAGCTCCTTCCTCAGCGTGGCACAAGGTTACATTCTTTACTGCTTTCTATTCTTTCTGGATTCCCAGGCAAACTGCCTTTGCAAAAGGAGGGAGAACTAGAGTGATTAGAATGATGTGAGAGTATGTTTCACTTCAAGAGAAAAGCTAATCACGAGCAGGTTATTCAGAAAGTGACGGCTTTGCAGCCAGGAACTCTTAACTACTCCTCTTCTAACACTTTCTTGATTCCTTGTTAAGTGCCAGGCAGGGCTCTAAGCATTTCCCACATATAGGTTCATTTAATCCTCATGATAATCCCATGTAGAAATGCGAGTAGTGGGTTTCCTTTTACAGTTAGGGAAACTGAGGCACA